TGCCCTCCACCTTTCCTTGGGCTGGTAAGTTGCTTTGTGGTTTGATGGTCATTTGTTTGTTTGGTACCCACTGCCTCCATACTGCTGTCATTTAAAGTAATTCCTATATGTGGGGCTCCTATATGTGGGGATTTCTAGATACTTATTTATACATTTATATATGCAGCACATTTAGGCAATTTAAAGGATGAAATAAAGCTACCAGTATTTTTAAACATTCTGTGAATCATGATAACTTCACACTATCAATAGGTAATCCCTTTGTTGTGGGTATAAATTCACATGTGAAAAGGCCTTCCTGGTAATTTCCAAGCATTAGGTCCAATAAATTAGATGACTAGATTGTTATTGTTTTATCTTTTAAATGGATAAATATGCACTCATATTAAGGGTGGGTTAAATGTCAGCTCTGCTGTTGGGGTCCAACCCCAGCAGGTCCAGGGGTCCCCAAAGGTGTGGACGGAGTCGGCGAAGAAGGAATGACACAGAGACAGCCTTCAGTTGATCAGCAGCCTAGCCAGGATCTCTATCCAGGAACTCCAGCCAAGTCTGTCTCTAGGTTCTGTGTCTAGGTTCTCTGTCAGGTTCTCTCGCTAGGTTCTGTTTCTAGGTTCTTCAGCCAAGTCCTGTCTCTAGGTTCTGACTCTAGGTTCTATGTATATGTTCTGTCTTGTTACATCTGTATTTATAGCAGTTGATTCCAATCCTATCAATCTCTATTCCAAAGGTTAGGGCGTTTCTTATCTCCATTCCAGGGAGTAAAGATTATGTAGCTTAAACGTGATTGTTTGTAGTTAAAGTGATTAACTACCCGCCTGGCACTTAGTTAAGGGGTTTTATCCCCTCCCTAACTTCAGGGAAAAATCCCTACCTGGGGAAACAACCTTTCTCGGAGAGGTGACCTTGGTTAAAACACATGGCACTAAGGAGAGCAAACATATTAAGAACAATATGCTATATATGCCAGGTCCCTTGAAACATATGCTGTGCAGATGTTTCTTTCCTGCAGCGACTGTGTCAAGCAGCAAGGATGGACCGGCTTCCAGCAAATTCCCCCTTTTTTGTTTTTTAAATGATAGCGCGTGTAAATCAGTGGCCACCTCTCAGATTGGGCTGTTTAAGACTCGGAAGAAGACTGGCAAGCAATGACAATAAGCATAGCTATAAACATAGTGGACGGATTGCACAAGGAGCCTTGTTCCTGTAGAAGGTTGCTGGCCTCTTCAGTCAAGGGATTTCAGCTGTCCTCAAGTCGGTGGTTTGGTTGTCCTTGTTGATCTGGCTAGCGGGCAGCGTCATTGGTGACAGGCTTCCCATAGCGTCAGCGAGTTGAAGGGCTGCATCACAGGGTCCATCAGGGCC